AAATTCAGATAAAGATGTGTTACATGGTTTGTTTAATAGCGCCAGGAAAAGGGACCCTAAGACAACTTGGGTGACAGGGACTCTCACTGAATCTGGGGCTCTTTGATTTGGCTAGACTAGCCAGCCAGCTTGCCCAGGGGATCCTTTGTTCTGCTTTTAGAGCACTGAGATTATAGGTGGGATACTACATTCACCTTTAAAAAAAATGTGCTGGAGATTGGAGAGCAGAACTGCTATGTTCTGTGTGGCTGGGTGGTGGTCGATATAGAAAAGGAATTTTACTGTATAAAATATTATAAATGTTTTAACATTAAAGAAAGCTGTGAACTAGGAGGTTCCCAGTTCTGCAGAAAAAAGTTTCTAACTCCTAATTTTTATTATCATAGATGAGGTGCTCCAAGCAGGTATTCAGGACCAAAAAAATAGGCAGATCAAAGGTTATTTCTCTACAGGGGCTCAGGAAACAAAATGTGGCTTGTTTACAGGGTACAGTGTAGATGGTCACAGAACAGTGTAAATAAGTATATCTTTCTTATCTAATCCAAACACAAACACTGCACTTCAGAACCTGAGTCAGCTTACATGCCCATCTGGCTTTGTCACCTTAGGCATTTTTGGCTGTTGGTGACTTTGCAAGTATGCCAAATATGCTTTCAGCAGAGGTCAAACAGGGTAGTGGTCTCTAATACAGAACTCCAGTCCTCAAATTTGTACAGCAAGCCCTTTATCTACTGAGCCATCTGCCCAACCCCCAAGGAGGATATTAATAGATGCTCTGTTCACACACTTCTGAGCTCTCTGCTTCTAGTAGGTTTCAGTTTCTGTTTACTCTCTTCCAAGCAATGGCACTGGCCATATTACTACATACCACTGGGACCAGTTTTTAGCAAGTCCCATGCAGCTCAAACCTGAAAAATCCCAGCATAGACTCGAGGAAGTGGGTAAGAAACTCCAACCCCACCTAAGAAAGTAGTGTCAACAGATGGCTGCTGGGAGGGGCAGAGACAGTCTCTTTCAAGCATGGGACTCCTGGCAGGTTAACCAGGCTCCAATGGATAGGTCCACACAGAAGGAGAATTGGGAACACAGATTCTATAGGCCTTATTATATATATTGTATATAATAGAGTATATATAATGTAAGTATATATAGAGTACATTAAGTTGGGTGGGGAAAATAAAGGAGGTGGAGTTAGGGGAGGGGATCTAAATACCATAAACTATTGTATGAAAATAGCAACAATTCAGTAAAAATTCAATACAAATTAGGCAAATATTAAAAAACAAGCTATTGAGACCAAGATTGGTAATAACTTTGCCCCCACTCCCATCTTTCCAATAACTCAGCCTAGAAGCTTAAAAATCAATGAGCTTAATTTAAGTAAGTTAGAAATAAGGTAAATACACACATACAATAAAATATGTCATTTTATTTATAGATTTGTGGCTATATTGAAAGTTAAAAATTACTGATAGCCTCTTTTCAAAGGTATCATAAAGGGGGTTACAATATATTAAAATGAATTTAAAACATGCAGATCTATAAAAGTCAAAGGCTATATTATATCTTCAAACTGGATTACTTTATGTTGATGTGGAGGGTCCAAGCTTCTAAAATTCAAAGATGAGAGTATGCATTAAAGAAGTCCTCAGGAATTATTACGTGGACCATAAAAAGGTGTGGACTGTGGGGAAAAAAAGTGCAGCAATAGTTATTTACTATTCTGATATTCCCAAGGCTCAGAAATATTTCTTTTATCAGTTTTTATTTTATTTTTAATAGAGCAATAATAGCTTTATTGTATCCTTAATAGGTCTCAATCACTGTTCTAAGGAGTTCTTCACATAACCACCTTATGAGTTGGTGACTAACTGGCCTGTAAATTTTAAATTATTATTTGGCAATTTTACACATGTGTATAACAGATTTTGATTCTTCTTACCCCTCAGCATCTTTTATCATTCTGTCTCAATGCCTTCCTGAGTCATCCTTCTAGTTTCATGTCTTTAAAAAAATTTTGTATTTTCTTTGTGTTAGCTTAATTAGCTTAAGAGCTTAATTGTATCTTCTTTCACTGAGCTTAATTAGGGTTGCTTGCATGAGCATAGATGAGGGGTTATTTACTGCAGCATGGAGAACTTACAAGTGGCTACACCACTGAAGAAAATCTCCCCCCCCACCTCCCTCCCTCCCTCTCTCCCAAACCCTTCTGCCCCTACCCCTCCACCAGGAACTATTAACTAATACCTCCTCTGGGAGGAGAAAAGCCTCATGACCCCTCCCTGCCATGGCTCATTAATATTTTTCAAAAAAGGACGAATACACTTGAACTAGGTTAGTTTAGACCTTTAAAATATGAGCAGTATGGAAAAATATGGACTTATCCTAAGACAATTTAAGAATAGGAGCCACATAGATCCTAGCTCCTGAAGATTATAGAAAAGAGAAAAAAGTCCTCAAGGGAATATTGAATATATTTGACAATGGCCTAGTGGTAAATCACAAATGGTTTAGCTCCCAGTTTTTTTCTTCACAGGCCCTCCCCCAGCTTAAAACACTTGGTCTCTTTGTGAATGAGATAAAACCTGTTCTGGCAAGTCTGGAACTTGTCTACTTCTTTCACAACAGTAGTTGACTTTGAATTCAGATGTTCAGTTCTAAACACAGCAAAGTAAAATCTTACTATCAAGGCAAAGTATCCTAGAGTAAGGAGAGCATTATGAGACTGGAATCTTACTGTAGCCTTTCAGTTATAGAATGATGGTGTAGGAATCATTTCCACAGAGTAAACAGTTGAGGTCAATGTATGTTTTTCATCAAATGAACACTAAATGTGATGGATAATTTTATTTGTCACAAAATGTGCATGTGGGCATATTGAATATTGGCCCTTGTGAGAGCCCTTACCCAGTTATCTTTAAAGTGGGCACAGTCACAATATTGGCAGTATCTTCGCAGTTTCAGGAACCAGTATTGATCAGGAGGGCACTGGAGCGTTCGAGTGTTACCAAGTAAGACACGAGTGCTTCCAAGGGGAAAAAAGCAAACCCAAACCAGGTGTTAGAAGGCAGTCCAGAGACTAAGGGTTACCATCTCTGACCTTGAGATTCATGCCCAGGTATTACCTGACCTTGACCTAACAGCTTAGTGATTCAGCAGCTTTGATTGAACAACTTAATAGATTTAACAGATAAAAAGTTTTTATAGTTTTAAATGACTACATGACTGTGTTAATCTCCTTGACCATCCTCAACCTCTCATCAAATACTCTGTCCAGGAGTTATCAAGATTATGGGCATAGAAATTATTCTCAATTAAGAAAAACTACAAGAAGATATTCAATGTTTGAATTGGTTTTGTTTGAAAATAGTAATTAAGGGAAGGTATTTTAGAATTTCTTAATGCTGAGCTAATGGGTTCCCAAAGCTAACAAAATCTGATTAGTTCTATTTCAAAGACTCTGTCAGTGCGTTGGGGTTGAAGGTGAGTTTCATGAGCTCATTAGCCAGCACAGAGTGCTAAACAGCAATTAAGACAGTGGTTTTTCAGCTCATTTTGTCCAGGTTTAAGTCTGTGACTTTCTGACTGTGTGAACCTGATAAATCATTTAATGTGCTTCTGTCTATGTTTCTGGGTTCACTAGGTGGGATAATATAGTGCCATATGTTCAGAACTGATGATGATTTAAGCACCTGACGCTCATGGATGCTGTGGCTGACACACAGTAAGACTCAGACAAGGTTACTGTCATTATCAGGGCCGAATAGTCATTTTACCAAAAAGCTGGTGCCCCATACCATCTATGTTTAGCAAACTTTCCAGCCTTTTTGTTTTAATATGAGAAATTAAATATTTATTATTTAAACCACAGCATTTTCTTATTGGTGGGGGTCTTATATACCTTTTTCATTTTTTTAAAGTTCTCAGACAACAAATATTTCTTTTCAGTCTACTCTCTAGGAGAGAGGAAACAATTGGAACAGTTTTACCTTCTCATGTTCTCACTCAGTTCTTTTTTGGAGACAAGAAAGCTCTGGCTGATGAATGTGGGAGAAAGAACTACTCACTTTTAGTTCAGTCCTTGCTGGGTTTTTAGAGCTAGCCTGACTTCAGAGGGCCACATTCTGGCTTTGTAGCCAGCAGGCCAGCTTACTGGCCTGATCTTTTGTTTTCAAGGTGAGAAATTCAATGGTACAATTCTTTTTACACCAGCAAAATTATTTCAGGGTAAACTTGTAAGAGGACTTGTAGTTGTGATAGAGTTTTATTTGCCAATTAGTTTTTTTTTTTTAAATAAAGGCACAGCTTCGGTGTTATTTATTACTGAATTGATTTCAAAATTAGGAGGTAAAATGAATTGTTATTAACTTTCTAAACTAATTTATCTGTCTAGCCTATGGTCTCTTTTATTTTTTTGGCAGTACTGAGGATTGAACTTGGGGTCTGGTGCATGCTTGGCAAATGCTCTATGACCGAGTTAAATCCTCAGCCTGCTTTTTAACTTTTTATTTTGAGATAGTCCCACCTATTGCCCTGGCTGGCTTTGAACTCACTGAGTAGTGGCAGGTAGGTTTTGAACTTGCTAACTGTCTTCATCAGTCCCCCAGAGTAGCTGCCAGGCCCAGATAGGGTCTTTTAAATTATGGAGAAGATCAAAGCCAATCTGTGTACTTAAGAAAGCTCCATAGATACTGGTTTGATGCATTCAGCTTGGCAATATGTCCTGCTAACCTCTAGGAGAATAGATAGAAAGGACACATGGTCAGGAATAAAGAGGCAGGCTTAACTCACTCATGGCTTTGGAACTGTTGTCACTCTCTTGGTCTAAGTTTTGACCTCTGAGTAAGGACTGAAGAAACTGACATGAACTGCCATGCTGCAAAGCCATGAAACTACATAAGAACAGTCAAGATTTTCAAAGTCTGTGCATAAGTGATGACACATTTCAGCAAAGAGCTGTTGGTATTGAAGGGAGGATCCAGTGGGTATTTTGGACTGACCTGGGCACCACACACTGCAGAGGCAGCTCAGCAGAAGTGGATCCATTTCGTGGTATGTAGGTGAGCCAGGTATGAAGGGCAGTTCCATCACAGAAAGCCTGACGGTAAAAGAGATCTTTGAAACATACGTATTATTTGGCACAACAAAGGATGAGATCATTACTGTCAAGGCTTGAAATACTTTATCTGGTATTTTAAAGTTAAATACAGTATTTGGTTGTACTTCATATTTAAAAGTTTCTAGAAATGTGAAAAGGAAGATTGCTAACTGACATTTATATATCTGCACTGACTTTTCTGAATATGAAATGTATGCACCCCATATGAACATTTGAAATATGTTTGTGGTCAGTAAATGAGATACAAATTATTTTAAGACTGTTTTTTGTTTTTTGAGACAGGGTCTCTCTGTAGCTCTAGCTGGCCTGAAACTCTTTATTGTAGACCAAGCTGGCCTCAGTCTCACAGTGATCCACCTGCCTCTGCCTCTTGAGTGCTGGAATTAAAGATGTGCACCACCAAAGCCAACTAAGATTTATTTTCTTATTTTTTTAATTAAAAAAACTTTACTGAGAATTTCATACATGCATATAAGGTGTTTTGATCAAATCCACACTCCCTCCCTCCCCTCTAACACCTCCCAGATCTCCCCATCACTTTTTTTCTGACAACTTTGTGTATTTTTTTTTCTTAAATTAGAACCACTGAAGGGGTACTCCAATTGCTTTACCCTGTGTCCCTGTTCAGTATGGAAGAAGCCAGAGTGGTCTGCGTCCCTACTCCCTATTGGCAATTTGGGTAACTCCAGAGGATGGCGTGATAAGAATAGGAGGTAGGAATTGGCTAGAAAAGTAGCCAGTTTCTTGGCTAAAAGTCAAAATGTCCTTGGGCCTCTGTTCCAAAGGCCAAAAATGTCAAAAGTATTTGGGAGCTCTTATCTAATCCCTAAAAGATTTTAGGGTTACCTCTTCAGAGGGGTATTTATTAATTTTTATTTTATGTGTATGAGTGTATTGCCTGAATGCATGTAAGTGTACCTGTGTCATGCAGTGCCTGTGAAGGCCAGAAGGAGGTGTCGAATCCCCTGATAGAGGAGTTATGGACAGTTCATAGTCGCCATATGGGTGCTGGGAATCGAACCTAGGTCCTCTGCAAGAGCAGTCAGGGCTCTTAACTGCTGAGTCATCTCTCCAGCTCCCTAAAATTTATTTTTAATAATTTATGTGTGTATTTGTATCTGTGTGAGTGAATGCCACGTGTGTGCAGGTGCCCAGCAAAGCCATGAGAGCGTGTAGGAGCCTTTGGAACTAGAATTATAAGCAGTTGTAAGCTGCCCAAAGTGGGTGCTGGGAACTGAACTCAGGTCCTCTTAACTGTGGAGCCATCTCTCCATCCCTAAGAGATATAGATTCTATGATTATGTCATCCTGGGTTCAATTTCTGAATGAGTCACTTGTATTTCTACCTTGATCCTCCATTATTTATGTGATTAGAATTACATTAGATATGGTCTATGTGGAGGAGGCTGTGCCTGCAGGGTGCTTAGCACCATCTCTAGCTTCTCCTCACCAGAGGCCAGTCACATCCCTTTCCTCTGTGGGTGGGGTAAATAATATTGTCTCTAGAAACTGCCAAATGTCCCTTGTGAAGATGATCACCCCACTTAACAACTACAGGCTTATGCTGTTGTGAAGGGCTCTACTATAACACTGCTTGTAAGTATCACAAATCTCAAAATGCCTTTGGATTTCTTTTGGGCAGGTGTATTTGAGCATGGCTGAGTGTCTAGCACCTTGCTGTGGGTAGGCACAGGTCTGGGTAATAGTGTGTGATGAACAATCACAACACAATAGTATAGGTCAGAGAAGTAAGTCCCTCAAAGGAACTTCAGTTATCTTATGCTCGTGACATGAAGTTCAGGTTCCTGGAAGAGCATATTTAGTCCCAAGTCCACAGCAATGCAAATTAAGACAAGATATGTAATTATCTTTCCTATATCCAAACCTCAGAATTTTCCTTACTGGTGCTGAAATACTATGGGTTTCACTGATTTTGTTTTTCTGAACTTGAAGTGAACAAATTAAATCTACTTAATTCAGGACCTTCCTAGATTATTCTTTCCTCTGAACTTCCCTGGAATTTTTTTTTATCATTGTTGCACATTACATTTTGCCTATCCCAGAGTCATCATAGAACTAAAGCAGCAGGCTTATTAGACTAGGCATCAGCAAGTCTGGTTCTTCCACATTCTAACTTCACGTGTTGGGTTACATGGCTGGCTTTTATGCTTCAATTCCTTACTCTTATGTCAGAAACCAGGATAGCATGCCCTAGAGCGAGATGAGCCTAAAACTTTTAAGTCCAGGCTACGTTCTCTGCTCAAGGGAGGGGCACTGAAAACAGCAGCTGTCTTGCAGAACACATATCCCTGTCTTGTAGAACACTGCAAGGCTAGCAGGAGAAAGACAGCCGGGTTCAAAGTTTAAGTTTCTTGCTCTGAGGGAGAACATCCTGGTCAACAGCCCTCAGCACACCTCCTTGTCTGGAACAGATAACTCAGCTATCACTAGCTAAAAGAATGGGCCAGGTTAAAGGTTTACTCCTCTGATAAAAGATAAAAGTTTACTATGCTTTTGGTTCTAAGAAAGAAAACATTATGGCCAGTAAATTATCAGATAGGCACCAGTAACCCTGAGTAAAAGCTTAAGTATCCTGCTATACAAACAGCCCCTATCTGGCACCAACTAAAAGCTATAAGTCCTGTTTCTTTGTGCCCTAAATCTTTGAAAGTAACTGCCAAACCCCACGTAACTTCTAGCTCCTTGTACAAAAACCTGAATTTTTCAATAAACAACTTATGGTAAAGGAAAGCACAAGTCCCAGAGTCATAACTCTGTCATGGATCCAGTATGACCACCACTGAAGCAAAGGTTCACTGCCCAGCAAAGCTGACCTGGGTCCCTACACTCTTACTCTCAATAAGTGGGCGAAGCATTGAGCTCATAGGATTAGAAAGTGTGTGAAAATGCTCTACATGTAATTTGTGCTATTTTAATAGGCTATTGATTTGTTTTGAGAGAAAAGTGTAGGAGTTTTTTATTCATGCCCTGTATCATATACATAGTCTCTGGTGAATGAATGGAAGTGACAAAAATGTTCATATTTCTCTTAGTCTTCCTCCCAGTCTTTGGCACTAGTTAGTAATGCCAGTAGAATTTTACAAAAGAACATAGAACAGCACTTCCAAAGACTTTACAGATGGCACCAGGTAAAATAGCCACTTCTCTTACCTGTATTGTAGTTCCACAGAGACCAATAGGATAATCAAACTCAAGTTCATCTGAGCGTACGTAAATAGCCTGGCAGCCTGTTCCTAGGAACAATTCATCAGGGCCTACTAGTTCATCTGGATAAAACAGTGCTCTTTTAGCTATGACACGGAGATTAAGATATGTGCATTCCACCAACACTGCGGAAAGAAGAAATAGCATTCAGCTGTTCTAAGTGAACACATGGCAAAGAACTTTGAGCAGAATTAGGCTATATGAAGGAAAGACCTATTTAATGGAAAGAAAGGGAGTTTGGAGGTTTGTGCAGTGATTCCTTTTGAAGTAGGAGACTCCGTTCTCTTGACTTCTCTCCAGCAGTTGTTATCCCTCATTGACATCCCTCAAATGGAGTCAACTGGGAAAAAGACTCAAGTTTTGCCTGAGATTAACCATAGTGGCTATTTGGAAAGGAAGCAGAAGTGTATACTTTTGAGTGCATATTGGGTTGCAAGTTCTGTGTGTGTGTGTGTGTGTGTGTGTGTGTGTGTGCGTGCGGGCGCGCGCTTGGCGTACTTTAGAGTACACATACACATGGAGGCCAGTGGTGGATGTTGTGTATCTCTCTCAATTGCTTGCCACCTCATTTTTTGAGTCGCAGACACTCTTCTGAATCTGAAACTCCTTAATTCTGCTAGAGTAGTTGGCCAGCAAGCCATAGGGATCCTTCTGTCTCTCTCTCCCCAGCACCAGGCTTACACGAATGTACTGTTGTGCAGGTTTTCTATGCGAGTACTGGGTATTCAAATTCAGGTCCTTTGCTGCTAGCTGAGCCATCTCTCCAGCCCTCCAGATTTTAACTTTTAAGCCATGGCTGTGTGCCAAATAGTAGACATACATTACACATGGAGAGAATGATGCAAGTCTTTCAGGGTCACAGACTCAGTGATGAGCTGGGACTGAATATCATGCCTGGTTTGTTGCTTTTAGGACTCACTATACTACATCACCCTGGCAATTTATGAGTCTCTTAGACTGAGTTTTAGGTTCATCTTTCCAATTACCTATCAGATATACAAAGCGATATTCTTCTGAGCATGCATCTCTTCAGTACAGAACTCTTCACTTCATTCCATTTTCCCCCCTTATCTCAGTCAGTAGCACCACCATCCATCCAACACTGAAGCCCAAAGGCCTCAGAATCTGTCCCCAGTTCCATTTCTTTCCCCCATTCATAGCCTACTGCCGAATCCTTTCACTTTTACCATTAACAGTTATCCCATCTACTTCTGTTCAGCTAGTTCCCTGTCCCAAGCTACTGCTGTGTCTCCCGGGCTGCCTCAGCAGCCTGGTGAAGGCTCTCACTGCCGCCAGCCTTCTTCTTCATTCCCAGGTTTCCATTTCCTTCATTCCTTGCAGCTGACCTAGAAAGAGGTCCGAGGTCATCTGCAAACATGGATGGATTTACATATGGTCATTTCACCAGTGTGCAACTTTCTAATTGTTTCTGATTGTAATTAGTACAAGCCTAAAAGCCTAATGGCTTACTACAGTTTCCTTACTGCTCTGGGTACTAAATCTCCAGCCAACTTTTTTTTCTTTATCTTTTTTGGTCTTTTTGAGAAAGGGTCTCTCTGTAGCCCCACCTGGCCTGGAACTTGCAACATAGACCAGGTTGGACTTGATCTCAGATCTGCTTGCCTCTGCCTCCAGAGTGCTGGGACTAAAAGTCTGTGCCATCACGCCCGGCTCCAGCTAATGTTTCTTAACTCAGTCAACGTCACCCAGTGGTTTTGACTGTCAGTCTTGGTGCACCAGTCCTGTAGCCAGCATTCTAAATCCCTCTTAAAAATTTTTAATTGAATTTTTGCAAATTTCATACAATATATTTTGGTTTTATTTAGATCCCCTTCTCTATCTGCACCCCTTTACTACCTCCACTCAATTTCATGTACTCTATTGTACACATGTGTATGTATATGTATATTAAGGCCTATAGAGTCAAATTTATGTCTCCAAATACCTTTCAATGTGGTTCATCCACTGGAACCTTGTCAGCCTACTAGGAATCTTCCACTTAAATGAGACTGACTTTCCCCATCCCAGCAGCCATCTGTTGCCAATAGTTCCTCAGTCAGGGTTGGGATTTTGGGTTTTTTTACCCACTCCCCATGTCTATGCTGGGATTTTGTCTGAAATGCCTCCTTTGTTATTCTTGACTAAGCTTTATAAATAACTGCATATACATATTTTAAAAATCACTATAGTATAAAAGGAAAACAATTATATTAAAATCATGCATGTTCAATGAGTAGAGCCTCAGGCAGATCTATTTAAACACTCTGTATACTACTAAACTGTGCTCAAGACTAATGTGCATACTTAAGATTTCAAGTACCAGTGTAGCCTTTCATTCAGTGGTAAAGTTTCCCCCCCCTCCCAGAAAGATAAACTCAACTCACTAAAGTTCCAACAAGAGTGATGTGTGGGGCACTAGAGAAACGGCTCAGCAGTTAGGAACACTGACTGCTCTTGTAAAGGACACTGGCTGCTCTTGTAGAGGACTTGAGTTTGATTCCCAGCACCCACATGGCAGCTAATCACTACCTATAACTCCAGTTCTAGGAGATCTGATGCCCTCTTCTGACCTCTGAGGGCATTTTACAACATGGTTGCACTTACATACAAGCTGGCATAACACCTATACACATAAAATAAAAATAATGATGTGTAATCTTCCCTTGGTTTCTATGTATTACCCATGCTACACAGGATGAATCAACTCTGGAACTCTGTGTAGCATGGTGATTTTTCTTTCACTGGTTTTTGTTTTTTAAAAAATTTATTTTTATTTTATGTGTATGAGTGCTATGCCTGCATGTACGTATGTGCACCCGTGTTATGCAATGCCTGTGGAGGACAGAAGAGGCTGTTGGATCCCCTGGAACTGGAGTTATGGACAGTTGTTAGCTGCCATGTAGGTGCTGGGATTCGAACCCAGGTCTTCTGCAAGAACAGTCAGTATTCTTAATCACTGAGTCATCTCTCCAGCCCCCATTGATTTTTATTTTATGTCTATGTGTGTATTGCCTGTATGTGTGTAAGTGTACCCATGTCATACAATGCCTGTGGAGGTCAGAAAGGGAGTGTTGGATCCCCTGGAACTGGAGTTATGAACAGCTGTTTTCCACCCTGTAGGTGCTGGAAATCGAACCTGGTTCCTCTGGAACAGCAGTCAGTGCTCTTAACTTCTGAGCCATCTCTCCGGCCCCAGGTGATTATTCTTAACATTGCGGTATGTGAAATTTGGTAACAATAGATCTTTATTCTCAACATACATTCTGCTAATGCACATGTGCATACATACACATACACACCTGAAAGCCAAAGCCAAGCCAAACCAAACCTGTGAAGTGACAGGATAATTATCTTGATAGTGGTAATTATTTCATAATATATCCTTGTATCAAAGCACCATGTCATTTTTCTTTTGTCTACTGTACCTCATTAAAGCTGTGGAAAAGGCTGTTGATATGTAAATGATGAATAAGTTCTAGGCTAAGATCATTAGAAATAGACTCCCATCTATATAGGTGAATGATGGAATGTTTGGAGTTCATGTAGGACACTGGGTGGGTCTTAGTGTGTGTGATTGCCTTTGAATTTCAGGCGGCATAGAAAACCTTTCCCTTCAGTTTGTTCAGAACAAAGCAGCACACATCACAGGGCTCCAGGTAAGCACCGTTCTGATTTACAAGCCACTCTCTGGCCAGGATGACCTCCTTTTGGTTCCTTGAAGTTGCCATTTCTTCCCAAGTTCTTACACCCATGTGACTGTTTCTCTGGATTTTTGCCTTCGTGGCTGTTTCCAGTCCCAGTTCAATGCCACCTTCTTGGAAGACCTTATACTTAGCAGCTTGTTCAGGTGGCTTTTCTTTTCCATATCTATTCATATCCCACATATCTATGGAAGCTCTTATAACCTGTAGGTATCAGTTATCTACTTACTGGTTTTGCTTCCCAGTTATGATTAAAGATCCACAAAGACAGAGACTATCTACACTTACACAATGAAAGTTGACGATTCTGATGCCACCTGTGCTAAACAACAGTGAGCAGAAACAGATGTACAACTTGGACCTTGTTTACAGGTAAGAGGGAACCCTTGCTTAAGCTGTAGACCTGTAGACCTGTAGGAATCTGAAGAATCATGAGTGATAAGAAGGCCAGATACAGTTGCCTGAGTTTGCTAGGGGATGATCCAACCTATAGGGCAAATACAGTACACAGAAATTATACTCAAGTAGATGGGTAGATTCTCAGGAGCTTGCTGACCAGCCCAGGTTCAATGAGGCCCCTGCCTCAAGGGAATAAGCAGAGAGGACAGAACAAGATACTGGATATGTACATGTGCACTTGTGCCACGTGAGCATGTGTACCCATACACGTACACATGTACCACACACACCAAAACACTCACCTACCCACATATATACATCCACAACCATACTACACACAAGAAATACCACACCATCATCCCCAATACACATCACAGCCTCCCAATACACATCACAGCCCCCCAGTGCACATCACAGTCCCCTACCATACCACCCCTCACACACATACCATACCCCCACAGTCCCCC